AATGATATGTATTTCAGTTTGAACCTTGCAATGTGTACTTATATAATATCTACCTGTTATATAGTAAGGGTTATTCAGGACATATATTATCAACTAAAGTCAGGGGTGTCATTAACATTTTTGATAATGGGCAAATTGATAAATGCATGAAGGCAATTTAACAGAGAATTGTCACTTGATGTGGAAGTTACGAGGGATGTTCAATAAAAACTGATACAGATTCATTTGCATTCTAATATTCCTCCTCATAGCAGCTGGGCTTTTTGTAACATATTAAAGAACCTTTTTTGTTCATTCAATGGCAAAATCAGGGTCATCCTGGATTCAACTGAAACACAGATTTTTGGATAACTTCAAAATCATGCTAATATATAAATTTAATTGAACAAATTAAATTCATCATTTTATGGATGAAAAGTTGGAAAAACAAATAAATGCTAAAAAACCTATCTTGATTATTCTTGTATCCTCAAAACCACTTTAGTTTTTGCAATTTTGCATTGACCATTTTTTATGAGGTAGGCACCACTGAAACCTTGTGAATCAAGATGTATAGAAGCCTGTATAGAAAACATTCATTTTCTTCACCTTTCAATAGATAGACCTTTTGAACAGGAAATGTACCCATGTAAATAAATCAAGGATCACCTTAACTTTAGCTATTGCTAAATAGATTCTGTATTTTGTAGATTACAGTAAAACCTTTTGTAGATTACAGTAAAACCTTTTGTAGATTACAGTAAAACCTTTTGTAGATTACAGTAAAACCTTTTGTAGATTACAGTAAATCCTTTTGTAGATTACAGTAAAACCTTTTGTAGATTACAGTAAAACCTTTTGTAGATTACAGTAAATCCTTTTGTAGATTACAGTAAAACCTTTTGTAGATTACAGTAAAACCATTTGTAGATTACAGTAAAACCATTTGTAGATTACAGTAAAACCTTTTGTAGATTACAGTAAATCCTTTTGTAGATTACAGTAAAACCTTTTGTAGATTACAGTAAAACCTTTTGTAGATTACAGTAAATCCTTTTGTAGATTACAGTAAAACCTTTTGTAGATTACAGTAAAACCATTTGTAGATTACAGTAAAACCATTTGTAGATTACAGTAAAACCTTTTGTAGATTACAGTAAAACCATTTGTAGATTACAGTAAAACCTTTTGTAGATTACAGTAAAACCTCTCAGATCAAAACATTACTCTGACCAGTCAAAAATGTTTAGATAACCAAGCGTTGATTTTATGTTACCACCAGAAGAATTTTATGATTTTATAATAAGCTGGTATTTATTTCAAATTCAAATTCCAAAAAGAAGCCATGACTACTCTTGAGCTCATTAAGATCACATAAGCATCAAAGCTGTGAACTTATCTTTTTAAGTCAGAGTGAGTACTTATTACATCTTGCCTTTAAGCATCAGGGTTACAAGAATAGAATTTTCTGTGAAGAATGTGAATGGATTCACTTTACACACAGGCTAAGTCCTAGAATCAAAGCCAGAGAAAACCAATTAACTAAACAAACAAAAGGATTTTTTACTACATGTATTTTTGTGAAAAGTCGTGGGTGGATTTAATTCAAGATGTTCAAATTCTCCACCTACAGTTTTTAAATGATAGGTTATGATTCATGGGTAGAGAAGTGTCTAGAACAAAGTTGGATCACCTTATGTGTATACTAGGTTGTTTTGCTGATATAAATTAGTGATAATGGGTATCGCTAGCTGAGTAAAGGCGTGCCTAACGTCTAAAGAAATTCCAGTTATTAGCTCATCTGATGGATATTGGATATACACATTGGGTATTGACCCTATAGACATGTTGCTACGTTGCGTCAAGATGCAAGGTTTTAATATGTAACTCTTACAGTGAAAGGGAAATGAAAGAAAATATGTGAATATATAAGCGGATTGTCTGACGTAACTTAGAAGGGAAATCTATGATACAGGGAGCCTATATGTGAATGAAATGTAACAGTCAAATGATGTTCAGTTAGAAGCTTCGTGAAATGGCATTTTTATTAACTGATTCATAGGCTTGTGTTTTTCTGTGGAGATAAATGTCAGGAGAGAACATGGGAAGGTGGGAAGAGCCAAGCAAAGGTACGTCATAGATGTTTCACATTTTTGGCAGTTGGTAGTTTCTCTTCAGTTTTCTGTATCATATGTGTGGTTACATTTTCAGAGTACATGTATAGAAGTTATTGTTTATGAATGACATGACATAAAATCTCATGATTTGCTACCCTTTTCAATAGTTGATGTATTACTTGATGAATTACTAGACTCTGATCAATTTACAGGTGAATGTCCAAATTAAAATACTGTAGGTGTCCATAAAATTTCTTGATTACAAAGTCTATGTAAAATGTAAAGAGACTTTATGAACACCCTGTTGTAGTACTTAACAATACTGGGAGTGCATCACCCCCCCCCCTCCCCCCTTCACAACTGTAGGCCTCTTTGGAGTACCAACATGTGCTACTAAGAGAGGTATATAAGTAGCTTCTACGTAGATATATTTCATCCAAAGTCATTAGAGTTAAAGATTTTTTTGTTAGTGAAATGATTCATTAAAACCTGCAGCATATTTATCATGATTTGAAAAGGTCACTGAGCCCAGATATAGAGTAACGTACAGTTAAACTTTTGTGAGTGAACACCTTACTAGAATTTTTTTTCCAACTTTCCTTTTGTTGGTGTAGCTATATAATTAGCCATGCAAGGCAATTACATCCCCGGAATTTTACAGAAATAAATGTTATTAAGGTACAGTATACAATTGTTGACCTCTCCAGAAGTCAACTGGCAAAATTGTATACAGGGACTTTAAACCAAGAAACTACTGTTGACAGAGACCGAAAAAATGTTGACTGCTAATTGACCAATCAGATGCGAGTATTTTCACTGAGGTACTAACAATAAAACCTGTCTTAGTGAATACATGCATTTACATTTCAAGACACATTTAACATCAACTCCTGTATAAAATCCCCTTTCTGTAGTGAACATCTACCGACAGTGAAAACCTTTTTTGTGGCTCAACAGGAATTCAGTGCATTCTAATTTTACTGTATCTTGTCAAAAAAACTTCAGAAAGATATTTTGCCTCATCTTTGCTTTTGCCTCACCTATTTAAGACCCTGGTGAGGCACCCGATCTCTTTACTACTACAACTAACATAAGGGTTAAACTGTATTTAGCCTAGATTTTAATGGTTACATTTTCAGTGGAATTCTGCCAAGTTTGTCATATTGTTTGTCTAGATACAACTCATAGCATTCATCCATCATATTTCATACTCAACAATTTAGTACACATATCTCAATGGTGAGTCCTCTCCTCGCTGTTCACTTTTCTTCATTAAATATACATGTCATTGTACTACATAACTTAAGGGTCATTTACTTGGAGGTCTTGGATACATGGTTTACTTTCAGGGAAATATAGAGATTATCCTATATGAGACTCAGGATATTGTGATTATTCCTGGCTTATATCATATTATCTGCCCGAGGGTAGATATGTTATATTTGCTAAGGGATATTTCTATATCTTTCCCTCTATGACTGAGGTTGTATCACCAAGGTCCCCTAGCCCATCTACTTTAATTTTAGGGAGAGGGGGATCACAATGACTCAAAACAAGGCTATGTACTACGACACTTTGGCAACAATTCAGATCTTTTACACGGAAGTATAGCATACAGAAATGGTTGTTTCTCGGAACGTAATGTTTATGCTAGCGAGGTTCTCATTGTGTCATGGTAAATTAGATGGACTTGTGCGAGGCAATAAATCACGAAGCACGGCTATTAGGCGCAAACTACGCATAAAACAAGTTATATAGAAAGTGGCTCATAATTAAACTCCCATCAAAAATCTTTTGTGATTTGTCATTAGATTCTTGTATCGGACAATAATGATAGCCTCCTTTGTTCGTTGGTTGATTTACAGGTTAACAATTTATCCTGTCTACTTTTGAAGTATGAGCAACCATTTATAATTATTTTATATTTTCAATAGTCAGCTGGATAAACTTTTTTGTCATTAATATTTTCTCGGGATATAGACAATTTTGCCAGTTCACCTTGGGAGCAGTGAACAATTTGATACAGTAAAACTTACTAGAGATAAAATCTATTTTGAGGGACTTAACTAATTCTGATTTGAATAATGCTAAATAAAAAAGACGTGTAGTTAATGTGATCTGTAATTCTGAGAAATGAAGGCAATGAGATCTTTTGTAATTCTGAGAAATAGGAAGAACAAGTAGCTAGATATTTTGTATATCTGAGAAGTATAAAGAATGCCGAAAAATGACCAAGATAGTGAGATCTTTTGTTAGGGAACTTCCCTAATTCTGATAAATCCTCTCATTTTCAGTGGACTAATATATTTGATCGAAAGCAATGAGGCAAAACTTGCGCATCACTTAACTTATTGAAATAGCGTTTAGCTGCCATTTTGGGCATATTACATTATAACAGTTGAGTTGGTTTAGAGAACAGAAGTTAGGTTAGATGGGCAAGGAAGAACTAGGGATATTAGTTGGGTTGTAAATGCCACACAATGGCAGGCGATCTTGAAAGATTTAATTCATAGTTAAACACACATAACAGAAGTTTGGTGAGATGGACATGGATAGAAGAACTAGGAATATAATGTAGCTCTTTTTGGTATTATGCCATGCATAGGTGGCGAATGCCTCATGATGACAAGGAATCTTAAAATATTTAATTTAAAGTGAAGTATGCATATAATAGTACAGTAGACATGTATATAGGATATTGGAGGTTTAATATGAAATAAGTAGGTATTTATAAAAGGAAAATTTTTCTTAAATGACTTTTTGATTGAGTAGATGGATTTTACATTCTATTTTAGATCTATACATTCCCAATGTATTTTTCCTGAAAAATCATATTAATTATATATTACATTAAAAGTTTGGCCAGGACAACTGAAATAATGTGTATTTTATGTGTATTTCCAGATGACAGTTATAGTGGTGAACTGGATAAATCAGGCAACCATGAATCAACTGATCTTAATGGTAATCCTATTGAGGGACTCCAGTATGGTAGCAAAGCAGCCAGATCTAAGGTATAGTGAGATGATACTATAAGTTATTGAATGATTTGAAGTACAATACAGGACATATTCTGCTCGAGAAATTCTGTATTGGAACGAGACGAATACATAATATCGAGACAGAATATATCCTGTATTGCACTTCAAATCATTCAATAACTTTTTTATCGTGTGATCCTCTGTATTGCTACTGAGATTGTCCCCTCCGCACCAATATTTTATGTATTGCGACGGAGATGATCAACGGGGACAATCTCCGTCGCAGATTGGTACAGCACAAGATCTGACCAATCAGAGGGCTTTATTTTACAGATCATACAATAAAAAGTGATAGTGTCACATTGTCAGTGTTGTGGAAGGACCAAGTTAACTTCACTTGAAGGGAGGGGGTTAATGATGATTTCATTCATAGCCAAGAATGTGATTTTTGAAAAATTAAGTGAAAGGCGAAATCATCAATATCAAATATAGGGGACAGGGGGTAAAGCTTAATGATTCAAATTATAGGGGCCAGGGGGTAAATTGTAATGATTCAAATTATAGGGGGCAGGGGGTAAATCGTAATGATTCAAATTGAATTCATTTCAGTGAAACTGACAATATTTGTGAGCAAATGGGATTAGCCTACAATGTGTGTGGAACCTATTTTTGATTTGAACATGACTGTATTCACGCCTTCTATAAACTGTTAAGTCAATATTTCACACTGGTTATATTTGAAATTATGTCATAGGATAAATATACCTTGTATTTCACGTTTTATTTGATACTTTTGTCAATTTTTCTGTTAAAACAAATGAAAGTATAGTGTGGTCATTTCGTTTCATAACATGAATTAGAATTCCAAAAGTTAAAAAGTCTGAGAGCAAGTTCAAAGACCCAAACCATAGATGTGAGAGCCCATATGGCACCACCGTACGTGTACTGTTGTTTAGAAATTGATTGCATATTCAGATGTTTCATTGGAATTTTCTGACAGGCAAAACAAATGAAAACAAATGATAACAAATGATAACAAAATTATGGAAAATTGCTTGCTGCAAATGAAACCATTTAATAGTACAATATGATTGAAGAGTAAATTTGCTTTATGGACTTTATTCTTTGAATTCCAGGGTGGTCGATTAGAAAATGAACACAGTAGAATACCATCCACACTTAGTCAAATTGAAGGCTATCAGTTGGGGAAAACACAGATTCGTGACATGGACTCTACTACAACAAACGATGCTAAAAATGAATATGAAAAGAAAAAAATTCGTCAGCAGCGTAAAAAGGACAAAAAGAATGAACAAATCAAAGTAGCAAAAGACCTTCCTGGAAACGTTGGTACCCAAAATATGGACAAGCTATTGGAGTTTATCGGTGAAAAACCAAAGGCGAATGGACCTAATAATTTGGGTACTAGCGGGAAGGTTAAAAGTAAGAAGCATAAGGAGAAAAAGGGGGTGGAGCTTGTCGGGGGCGGGGGATCGGATAATGGTGACGATGCTACTGAGAGTAAAGGAAGCTCAGAAGCCAGTGAGGGGAAACATAAAGACACTATAAGTGAATGTAGCTCTAGTGGCAGCGGAACAAATAACTCGGACAATATGAAGGATAATTTATCTGATAAGCCTGCCAGTATTGGTGATGGCAACAGGAGCGATGTGATCAGTGAGGTTCTCGACTCTACCAATATAGACACTCCTAGTTATTATATATTTACAGACATTGAACCTGTGCCCAAGGTCGAGGAAGCCTTCCAGAAAGTGGACCGCAAGAAGAAGAAACATGTCACACCTCATAACAATCATACACACAATCACCACCTATCTAGCTATCCATCTTCCCATCGCACACACCCCCACCAACGTGACAATTTTCAACACCGAGACCAGATTAGAGAAAAGGAACGTAATAGTACGATCCCTAACCCTCATGTAGAGTCTGAGCCTCCCAAGCGACCTACCTTGGCAGTTCGTTCTATTACACCCCCTCCCTCTGTTGAGGGTCAGAAAGAACGGGCTCTTAGTCCATCAGCATTTCCTGCCTTGGGAGGTGGAAGACGTAATTCTACAGGCACAGTAACGGCCCTTGAGGTACAAGCGCCACCTAGTGACAGTGATGTAGAATCAGTACGTTCACTCCCCCTCCCCTCGGATTCTATCCCTCCGGTGATTTCGTATGCAAAAATAGCTGCCTCTCCTAAACCAAAAGATAAAGGGCCGTCAGCAGCCATGGTGAAAATAATTGCTCAGGGAACTGGTAACACTGAACGGCGACATTCAGTGGGCTCCCTCAATGACTCTATTAACTCCTGCAAACAACAGGAGGGTGACAGTAATGAAAAGAAGTATTCCAGTCAAGAGCTTCCAACAACAGAGATAGAAGCAGCCGCCAGAGATAGCGTCAGACGGAAACTGACGGATATGGACAATATGGCTGCCCCATCTGTTGCCCCGTCTATAGCCAAATCAATGGATATTGTCTCGAAGCCAGATTTCCCAACTCTCAGTGAAGTGACTCAATACAGAGGACCTACATCGCCACCAATAGGTGGCAGCAATGTAGATCTTAGTAACGAAAACACCAGTAAAACGCCACATATATCTAAGTCAAAAAGTGACGACCTTGTTGTCGCTCACTCTAGTGCATCCCATAGTGATATCAAAGACCTTGAGGGGAAGAAGACTGCTGAAGAGTCAAATACTTCACTAACCTCTTCTAAGTCATTCACTCTCGGCATTAAACAAAAGCCCAAGCAATCAGTGGTGTTTTTAGGGAATGATAAATTAACTAGTCCACTTAACCTAGGAATATCCTTTGGTTTTGATGATAAAGAACTCGAAGCTTTAACATTAGACTCTCATCAGGCCCCTCAAGAGAACTTCACCATAGAAAGTGATATTGGAAATAAAGATAGTGGGATCTCATTCGGGGGTGACCAATGTATAGATGTTGATAATGTAGCGACAGCCTATGAGGCTCTAAAAATGAATGGTATAGTGGCTCCCCCTAGGGAGCTGTCTTTGTGCGAAAAAATTTCACAAAGAACGCTCCCACAAATGACATCTAGTGAGAGACAGGTGTACTATGAGAAGCAAAGAGGCAACTTCAACTTAGAAGAAATGGTGAAATACCTCGTAAAAGGTAACTTAAAATGATAAAACATATGTCATTAGTCAACAATTGGGAATTTTATAGCGGAACTAAAAATATTTCAAATTTGTTTTTGTAAAATTGATGATTTTTTGTGATATTGGTCTTCAATATAAACTAGATTAAACAGTCTGAGATGTCAATAAAATTAAGAACTTTAAAATCGCCATATTAACAAAAACAGTAATGGGTTATGATATTAATAATTTATTTTTAAATGTTTTACAGAGTGGGAAAGGACAGTTGAGTTGAAGGAAAAATGTAAGTATGTTAACCTATCTTGATAGATATGGTTAATTTTAGTGATCTCCCTAGTATTAAAGCAAGTGGGCATTGCACTCATTAGAGATTTTGAAAAGAGGCTTTGATCCATATCCTAAAAATTTACATGCCTTGCTTGAAAATTACAAAAGTTTTGAAAAATTGGCATGTTTTGACAAATTAAGAGTTGTGAAAATAAGAAAAACTGAGGCGAGCAGTGCACAAGTTCTATGTTTAGGCCAAATATCATGTAATTATTTATCCAAAAATATTCATTTATCTCTAAAAGGAACAACTATTCAGAAGGATACAAATCCCGAATGATCTTCAGCAAATTGACTCAAACTCAGAATTTTCTCTTCCAGCACCCAATCAAGTTCTTGCCTATACTGCAGCCTGAGTCACTCAGCCCATAGTCACTTATACTAAGTATCTAGATGTATCCAGAGCCTTCTAGATGTATCCAGAGCCTGCTTGATATACCTAGAGCCTTCTAGATGTATCCAGAGCCTTCTAGATGTATCCAGAGCCTTCTAGATGTATCCAGAGCCTTCTAGATGTGTCCAGAGCCTTCTAGATGTATCCAGAGCTCTCTTGATATACCTAGAGCCTTCTAGATGTATCCAGAGCCTTCTAGATGTATCCAGAGCCTTCTAGATGTATCCAGAGCCTTCTAGATGTACCCAGAACCCACTAGATGTACCCAGAGCCTTTTAGATGTATCCAGAGCCCACTCGATATACCCAGAGCCTTCTAGATGTATCCAGAGCCCTCTTGAATAAAGTAACGTCATCTGGAGCAATCTATTTTGGATTAAAATGAATATCAGCCAAAAAGTTCAATTGCTCTTCTGGTTTAACCAGATAGTAATCAAATGTAAGTTTTTAAATACAAAACTATTTTGTGACATGTGTCTTGAAATACCTGGAATTATGAAATACCGCCCAGTTCCCCAAGTCACTGCACTTACTTTGACTTCGGGGGAGGATATAGGGAGATATTGGATATAGGAAATATTTACCCTTAGTTGAAGACATGTTCATTGTTTGGAATAGATTTTCCCTGAAGATATATTCCCTATGGGAGAAACTTCTATGAAGGATTATATATAGAGAGATGCCTATTTGGGAAAGATTGCCTATATTGGAAAGATAATGCCTATTTTGGAACGATAATACCTATATTGGAATGATAATACCTACATTGGAACCTACAGAATGAACCCAAATGCAGTAATGTAAATATTTAAGGAATAGGATAGGATTATTTGCACACGTTAAAGGCTCTTGTTTAAGTTACGGGAATCACGAAGAGTGGATTAGAGTGATTGGTACTTGTAAATCTATGTAAATAAGCAACCACGAGGGGAATAACAGACAATATATTCACCCAACTGGGAGCGAAAAATCATCAAATATATCGGAAAGGGAAGATGAACTACTATGATATAGGATTTATTTTAGGAATTGATATCTTTGCTTAATGAGAGCTAAAACGTGACTCATTCAATGAAAGATAATGTATCACCAAACCGGATGTTAGACTTCTAGCGATTACAAGCTACAGGAGCAGGACGTGTGTATAGGTTAAAATATAACGTTTGGTTTTGGGAATACAGTATACACAAAGGACCACATTTTCTATTGTGGGCTGCGAAGATTTTCAGATTTCTTCATTAATATGTCAAACCTGCTGTGTGAGTAACAGCACACATGGACAGAAGTGACATCGTAGAGTTGCACTACACTATATTGCACTATATTTAGTGACAAGCATTATAAAATATGAAAGTGGCACGTAAATAAAACAACAACAAAAAAATGTGCATTGCTATGGCGATACAGTCAAAATCTGCGTCCTCTACTTTATATATAGATAGATATGGATGAAACAGACATTAACTAAATAAAAAAAGACTTAAACAAATTGGTGTGGAGTCGGGGAAAAGTCAAATGAAAGATGACAAAAATATGGAGGCAACCTCAAACAAAAAATAATAAAAACGGTAAAATATTTTTGGTTTGATTTTTCTCTCAGCTCAAAGGTGGAATCTGGTAAGACTCTCATGAAGTGCGAAATCTGAAGTACATATTTTTTGAAGTTCACATTTCATGAAGTCCTGTTTTTTTGAAGTTCATAATCATGAAGTGCAGTCCAGACTTCATTAGTGTTTACTTTTTGAAGTTCATATTTCATGAAGTGTGTACTTTTTGATGTTCGGACTTCATGAAGTGAAGAATTTTTGATGTTCAGACTTTATGAAGTACATTCTTTTTGAAGTCTATACTTCATGCAATGAAGTGGATATTTTTGATGTTCGGACTTCATGAAGTATAGACTTTTGGAAGCTCAGACTTTATGAAGTACATACTTTTTGAAGTTCATGCTTCACAGTGTGCATATTTTTGAAGTCCATACTTCATGCAATGAAGTGCATACTTTTTGATGTTCAGACTTCATGAAGTGCAGTCTTTTTGAAGTTCAGATTTCATGAAGTTCATGGTTGATACTACATGTAGTATACAAAGTTCATACTGTTCATACAGGTATGTGTGCACAGAATTATGTAAATTGTGAATGATTGTTATATATTCACTTTATAAATATCAATATCATAAGAATTAACATAAAATTTAACTGGAGAAAAACTTTGAATGGTTGACACAAATGTGACCCTGCCTTCCACTTTGCTTTTTACGATATATTATTTTACATCTTTCGATATCAAAAATATGTTGTGTTCAAAAGTGGAAGGAAAAAATAAAGAATCATTTCATATGTATCCAGGTTTACATTTTAAATTGTAACCCTTAAAAATTGTCCAGGAAGGCCAGTAAATGGATATCACAGTACACTTAAGTATTAGTCTGAAACACTGTCACTATCTGGGATAAGTAAGGTCATCAAGCAAATAAAAGATATAAAAATATATTTAGGTATATTTGATTTTTTGCCTCATACAGTTTATTTTATTTTTTTCTTATCCCAATTTCAAAATTTTCAGAAGTACATGTGGCATGTCATTGTATGAAAAACATTTGTGGTGTGTCACTGATTTTTTGTCAACCAATCAAAAGCTTTTCTCTGAGTTATGTGATCATTTAAATCATATCTGCTTGCCAGTTGTGAGCTCATGGTTAATGAAAAATGTAATTGTGAAACAAGAAGCATTCTATTTCTAATGGTCTTCACATACAACAGGTCCACTTTGTAACTTTCATTGTATAATAGTAAAACTCAGAAGTCAGGAAATGGCAGTAAAGCGAGTCTACAGTGAACACTGAACACTAATGATACTTGAAATGTGATCATACTTTTAGGTGTTCACAGACACATATACCTGTTATACTGTATATATATTCTATGTTCTATGATTACTTGGGCTCCCTCAAAAAATGTACAAAACAATTTGCAAATTATCATAGTAGATAAGCAACAGCTCAAAATTGAGGAATTTCTTTCATAATGCGTAGGCATAGTCAAAATCTTCAAATAGTCAAGGCAAATTGAAAAAGGCAAAAGTGGGGTTAAAGGAAATAAATTGTAATCTATGAAGTTAGAATATACAGTTGGATGATCCAAATTTTGTGTCATGCAGAAGAGAATAAAACAAACAATGAACCTTTGTGGCCTGTTTTGGAGAATTACACTCTACTATACCTAACCCCTAGAAATGCATAAGATACTGTGTTTGTGCAATTGTATTGTTTAGTATATTTTTGAAAGTACCTTATTAACATCATCAGTCATCTGATAAACCATTAATAAGGAATAGACAAATAAAAACAAATAACATAATCATTACTAATAAGCCAAAAGGGTTGCTTATGAACACCTAATGCAAGGTAAAGTAGAGTGATTACTGTCTAGAAAATGTACACAGAATATCATATACATGTAAATTATGAAGCTTAAGCCAGCCTGAAAGGTGATTATTTGCAAGTAAATGCATTGTAAATGCTTTATTCTGCTTGTATAAAACACAATGTGTACTAATAGACCCCTTGGTTCTGAACATGAGTTGAATGGCACTCAAAAGCTACATCTATTTTGTATGTTGAGAAATGATGTTGATCGATAGCATATATTTAAGTGTAGTCTATATAATCATTGAATGAAATCGTCAAAATAAAATTGAATGGTAGAAATGGGAACAATAGTGGATTACGCGGGAGAATAATGGGAAATTTAAGTTATATACATTCGAGAAAATTAAGAACAGGAGAAAATAAGGAAAATGTGGAAGAAGTGGGCAACGGGAGAAAATGAGAGAAATGGGGGGAGCAAAAGAAGATTTGTTGTGAATTATGTTGACATGGTTACCGTGTCAGAAGTGAAAATTTCACATCATTGTTTCACTAGTTTGCATCAATAGCATCAAAGCCATGTATCCCCCTCTCCCTTGCTCTCACCTGAGTAAGAGAGGGGGGGGACAGGTTCTAAAAGGGCAGATTTACATGGTAATCTACGTGTATATATTGTTGAAACGTCCTGTCACTGGGTGTTGTACACACACATGAATTGTAAATATTGTTAACCAAGTGAAAGTTGTGCACATGTTTATATACCAAATCAGGTTGGCTTACATCTTACATGTACCTTATTGTAGGATGTTATAGTTTGTGTTCATTCAGGGGGGGAGATTTCCTAAAGATGCTCTATCATATTAGCACGTTCGAAAACAAATTTTATAAACAGGCCTCAATTTGCCGTTAAAATGGATCTCCAAATGTTCACTGTAGTTTTATGAGTATTCTCTACAAGTATGGATCGAGTAACTTCAATAGTATTACCGTAGGTTTGAATTTTGAAATGATGATGTTGAACTGATGTTAACGCCATTCCCACGATTTCAAATTTAACTTTGCGCATGCGCAGCACTGAGAGAGCACGTGCTAAGGTTTGTTCACGTGATCAAATCCTGCAATTTGATTGGTGATGATGCAAGAGATGATGTAATGGGGAATCCCCGAATACGATAGAATATGAAAGAATTATGGGAGCTACTCACTCCTCCTGTGTTCATTCGTGAAAATGCTCATGAAAACTGAGAATCAACTCAATAAATAAACAGATGTTTTGCTGAAGTCCTAGAATATTGAATGTATAGACAAATCAAGTGACTTTATAGAAAAAATGTTGGTCAAAGAAAAAGAGAATATTTGTTGAATAATGAGATTTTATTTATGGACAAAATACCGTATAAAACACCTTAGAAATAGAATGCTTTTGTGTATAAACATTGTTGATACATCGTTGCAGTAAAATTGCGAGACACCCCCCCCCCTGCCTTAGCAGAAATGTGAAACTTAATGGACCTTAAAGTAGGCTCATAATGGTTGCCAAATACCATTTTTTGTACTCAAATTTATATGTTGTATATGTTACCTTTGAATTTGTTAATTGGTTTTGCAATTTAAAATGTCTCCCATATTATTCAAGATTACCAGATTGTT